GTGATTATGAAAGCTGCCAGCTTTCATCTTTGGTTTGAAGCTTTAAACTATATCCTTTGTGGAGCTTATCTAGAGGATAGGCCCCAGAAGAAAGATCCTGTCTTCTTCAGGATCCTGAGAGAGTGAGGGATGGCAAAGGAGCCTAAAGGAAAACCAAATCCAAAGAGTCATGCTTGGGTCTGCAAAAGAAGCAAGAGGCAGAGAAAGCCAGGTCAGGTTTGTGACTTTCTCTGGCTCTTATTCCCAAAGAACTCATGGGGTGCATCTTCCTAAAAGAAACCTACAGATATGTCAGCTGGTAAGGATACCAAGCCAGGAATCAGAGCACAGAGTCCAGCCCAGCTCCAATGCTTTCTGACTTATCTTAGAGAGATTACTGTCACTTGTCATGTGTCACTTGTTCCCTTTCCCCCCCAAATCCTGGTGTCATTCCACAAAACCCATTTAATCTAAGGCCCTTCTGGACAGGCACCTTGTACTTCTTCTATGCTGATAGCACTTTTAGGCACAGAATAAGCCAAGAGAGAGAAGAAATTTAAATATAAAATCTATGTCTTTTGATGAGTTTACAAACATCACGTGTAAGTCCACGCCAGCATCATATTCAAAAGTGAATGTAAGCAGCATATATGGCACACTCCTCACCCCATAATTTTGTCCTTTGAGGGGCAAAGAGCATCAATGCTCAAATTCCCCTGAGCCCCGTCATCCTCCCTGGAACTGATATTTAAAAAAATATAATGCCTTCTCTACATAAATACCCTCCTATCAAAATAATCAGAATGGGTTTTCTGTGTGTTCACATCACCACCACCATTTAAGTTTTAACGTAAACTTTACAATATGTACAGGTCTGTTTGGGTAATACATTTAAGTGTGAATTGTAGAAATCAAGCATGTATAATATATACATGTGTACATGAGCAACTGTATTCACAGAAGTGCATTTGATCATCTCTGATCTGAATCAAGCTGACCTCATCAGAGACAGTTAGAGATGAACACAGTACTTAAGAAAATGGCTAACTGAAAAAGGGCAACTATGCATTGGAAAAACTTTTCAAGTAGAGACCTCCAAATGTCTAATGAGTGCTTTTGATCCTATTTAACCAAAAGAAGAGGGAGGGTGCACAGACTGACCAAGTTTTGACTCAAGTGTAAATGAACAATGCTTTTGGAAGGATGGTCTCTTTTCTTTCCTTTTTTCTTTTTTTCTTTCTTTCTTCTTTCTTTCTTTCTTTCTTTCTTTCTTTCTTTCTTTCTTTCTTTCATTGTCTTAAAGATTTATTTATTTTTATATGGATTGGTATTTTTTCCTGCATGCATGCCTGTGTGAGGGTGCCAGATTCTCTGGAACTGGGGTTATAGACAGTTGTAAACTGCCATGTGGATGTTGGGAATTGAACCTGGGTCCTCTGGAAGAGTAGCCAGGGCTCTTAACCACTGAGTCATCTTTCCAGTCCCAGTTCTCTTTTATTTAGACCTTGAATTACTATTGGATATTGACTAAATAAATTTGGCTTTCTCTTCCTTAAATTCTATTTCTTAACGTGCAGTCAAAGCTGAGGTTAGTGCCAAACAGCTCCAGCTTCGAACAGCTTACGATTTTCTGCTTAAGTATTCACACACAACAGCTCCACACAAAGAAATAGTACAGAAATGTGCATCATGTTAATGGGTACATTCAGCTCCTCTGAAAGAGATTTCAGGTTCCAGCATTAGTATTATTAGTATTTATTTACGTCTTAAACCACAAGGGACTTCAGAGCAAGGAAGTTATTTATATGACAAGCAATTATTAAAGCTGCACTTTTTAGGTTTAAGGGAGATAAATTTTTAATCATCATTTAATTAACACCAACTTTCTTTTTCATTAGCAATTCTATTTGCAAAGAATTCAGGGCATTTGTCATTTCCTGAGAAGGATGAGGAATATTAAATACACATCAGCAGTAGGCACATCACCCAGAATAAACAACGTGAGACTGTGTGACTACTATGGATCTTTTGACTAATTAACTGTCTTGGCTAAAGTCCCATTTAAATGAAACTATTTCATTTGTAAACACGGTGTAATTATCTTTTTCTCTCCCCAGAAAATAAGTGTGAATTGATTTGACAGTTTTTGCTGAAATGGATAGATTTTAATGCTTCCACCAGAACGTTAACTATAAAGTCTTCTCAAGTATCCTTTGAGGCAGGGAGTGAAACCCAGAGCAAGGCATAAGATAGTTACTATTTAGCTTGATAAAATAATGCTGAAGACAGAGCCATCACCAGTGGGGAGGTTATCATCCCTGGAGTCACATGCAGGTCTTACTGACAAGAAGACAGGTCCGTGCGAACTTGCCTTCTTGCAGCATTGACACCAGAAGTGGCCTAAGCTATATCCACAGGTGTAAGGGTGGTGCAAGAATCAGTGAATTTTAGTGGAGGAGAAAACAATAACTGCTTACCACCCAGCCCCTAACTACCAATGATTTATTTTTGTAAATATCTTGGTGTTAAAACAAATGCATTCTTTCTCATTATGTGATTGATTCTTCCAAAAGCCTCATTTGAATTTCATTTGTATGGAGTTAATAGCAGAACTTATCTCTGGATTTTCTAGAGAAGGTTTTGAGGAAGTAGTAGGAGTGTAAGTTGTACTCTCATTGGATTGTGGGGCATTCAATAGCATGCTAGGCTTTGAGGGCAACGCAGGAAAGCAGAAAGCTCTTTGGATTTATGGCAAGCCACTGCTCTGTATTCTAGGGAGACTTAAAATTCACTTCTGTGAGAATATAACAGTGGTCCCAGCAGGAGGAATACAGGTTGGAAATGCAATGGGGGAAACAAAGTGAAGGAGGTAAAAGATACTACAGACACTAACACCTAAATTTAAGATCAGAAATCTAGGATACTGTTCCAGGTTCTCTAGTGCATATTTCTCCATCTCTGGGACTTAGGAAAGAAAAAAATGCTAGGTCCAAGGGATAAAATGTGGCTTTAAAGTTTATCAACCACTGCCTCAGCGCCATCTGTGTTCTAAAGACAGGAGGAAAGAGGCTCCATCCCCATCTCCCTCTGCAACTCCATCACTGGCATTTGCATTACTCTTGTAATTATACAATACTGTAGTGAAATGAACATTTCTACTGCTAGCTTCATCCGAAGCATCCCCGAGCTCTAAGAGAAACTTCCCTGACTTCTGCTCAACTGCAGGAGAATCCCAACTACAAAACAGAATGCCCCTGAGGAAAAGAAACATGATGAAATTCAAACCTTCAGTGCTGTCCCTTTCTCCAAGAACCTGACCCCAAATTCAGGAAAAGGAAAAACAGGAAATGGTTAGATTCCTTCATGGGAGCGAAACGTACTAAAGTCTCATGCAAAATACCATGGTCTTCTAGCCCAGCTATTTCAAAGACAATAATGCAATGAAAATATACAAATTGATGAAAAGAAACATATAAAATGTTTAATTTATATTATATTCTGCTTTGTGATATGTCTTTGTCTAATAAAGTATCATAACTACTTTGGGGTTGTTTTTAAAAATGTGGTTAAAATTTATGTGCTAAGAAATTTTCCATGCATGAATATTCCCTTCATTGTCTTCAATTTTTTAAAACTAATAAGAATCTGTTCTATCATATATGCACAGGCTTGGTGAGCCAGGAATAGGACAATGAGGGCTGCTCAGGAATGACAAATGCATTGAAGACTTCTCATCTATTTCTGTTGGTGTTGGAAAAGTGGTACCTCTAAGAAGGTACACATTTCAGAGGAGAGAAATCACTTGTCTTACTGAATTCATCCACAGTTGGGAGAGTGCTCAGGGTAGATGCACAAGTGGCTTAAATGTCTGTAGGCTTTTGATTTGAGGAGGTTTATATAGAAATAAGTGTCTAATAGTGTCCTGACATTAGGGAAGATCAATGTAAAACCATGCTAGCCTTGGGCACATAGATGGCATGGAACTTCTTACAGATTATGCATGGCTGCTGGCATATGTCACTACCTTAACAATTCTAGGAACACAACACACAGCCAATTAGACACCATCACGGCTGTTTGGGGACAGAACAAGTTACGATTACTCTGGGAGGGATCGGGTAAGAGATACTATACAACCCTGAGTCATCACCAGAAGGGAGAAAATGCAAACTTACGTACATAAGAGTCTTCAAGATAAACTACAACGGCCACTATGTCAGACAGAAGATCCACACTTAGATACCGAAGACATAAATGTGTTTATGCAGCTCCGAACAAGACCATTGAAACTGAGGGTGAGAGATACACACATATTAACATCCAAAGAGATTCTTATAGCTCTCCACCTGAGAGTCCCTGTGGCTATTTGTTCCATGTGTGTTTTGGGGGCAGACTACAATGAAAGTAGCATAGGTACCACAAACACACTGATTTGCTATTCTTTGGGGGGGAACCTGGAATTTTGGGGGGCTGATCCAGGGTTGTAATGGAAGGCATAACAAGAAAGCTGAGAACTGTTACAAGCCAAACTTCTTAATCCTTGCACATGTCAATCTTACTACAGTGCAGATGCATTCTTAACTGTCTTATTGTCTGTGTCAGACTTACATGCATACCATATTGCTTATTCTGTATTAGAGAAACTGAGGCATTTCTGATGGGGAAGTTACATGGTGGATTGATCTTCATGGAATTTGGAATATAGGCAATCACAATAACACCATCACCATCTGATGCACCATTATTGCCGCCATACACAGTCACCATGTCTGGGAGACCTGCCCATGTTTATTTATTTGTTTTTGGTTAAGGATTCACCTATCTGGTATGTGCTATTCTCAGCACATACCTCACAAGATTCCTTGAGTGGAAGATTATGGCATGGAGCCATGTGCAAAAGAGCCAACAAAAAAAAGTACCTCCCTTAAATCCTCTTTCTCCTAGTAGGGTCCTATCAGACATCCAACATTTACCCTCCAGAATGTTGGCCATTCCATATATTTCTTTATAGATAAACACTGGTGGAAGATTTTAGACATCAGATTCAATACTAGGCATTTTCTTGTACACGCGTCTATTGCTGCAGGAATTTAAAACCCTGGGAGTAGAGTACATGTTATTCTTATTTGCAGCATAAGGCATAACATGCTCTGAAATGTACACATCACTGTGGCCCCGACTGTCCCTGGAGCAGTATGATGCTGTTGACCTCAAGGATGACCGAAGATAGCTGTCATTTACTGCCTGTGATGGCAATGAGTGTTTGTAAGGGTCCGAGGGACATCTCCCAATAACCAAGCGCTGGTCATCCCCATACGTGTGGAGAAAAGGATTATCGGAGGTGTGGTCTGGCAAGAGAGACTTGCTCCTCTTGCTGTCCTCCAGACCTTGGGGGAAAAGGGAGCTTTTGTTCCCCAAGAGTTTGCTTGAGGGGACACTGAAGAGGCTGCCATATAAGTTGCCCTCCAACAGCCGTTCCCTGTCCTTGAGGCTTATGCTCCGGGAGGGCCTGCTAAGGTCTATTTCCCTGGGTTTGTCAAGAATGTTATCATAGGAGTGCTGTCGGTTAATCCTTAGCTTGTTCTTTTGAAACTGGAGGGCATTGTTCTGTGACCAGTCCTGCTGGTAAGCCTCGTCCCGTGTCGCCGGGTTACCCGTCTCCTGAAGCATCTGGTCTTCATCAATGTCATAGAGGTTCCCCATCCTCAGACAGGCATCACACTTGAAAGGAGACCTCATGGTAAAGTGGCCTGAGTAGGTGGGCAGGTTTGAAAGGCAGCTTCTGCAATGTGTGGAGTTCTGCCTGTATCGATCACTGCCCTCGCTGTGCGGGGAACCCTTGTCTTTCAAGGTAAAGTGCTTGGCATAGAGTTTATACTGGTCATTGTTGGGAAGCCCGTCTTCATTGTGTAGTGGATTCCTGTTCATGGGCAGAGTGGATTCCCCCTTTCGGAAGTTCTCACTGTGGTCTTGGTAAGTATCTGGGAAGCCCACGTTCTCAGGAAGGGCTATGTTCTCAGTGAACTGTGGAGGATCTAAGTGGAAGCTGGGCTCCTTCTCACCATCGATGGTGTAGATCTTATCCCTGGGAGAACTCGCTTTGGTTTTCAGGTAGGTACGTTCAACCTCACTACAGTCCTTGGGGTATTTAGAGGCCATTGACCTTTTGAAGTTATCCTTGGTCTTGTGGTTCTTATTGTTATCTGGCTCCCTGTGGCATGTGGCCCGGCTCGAGGTTTCCGAAATGTCAGAGTGGGCTACCTCTTCTGGAAGATACCTAGGACTCTTTAGGGAGTGAGTCCTATTCTCTGCAGTCTTCTCATCCCTCTGGGAGACTGGGTTCTGGTTTAGAGAATCCTGGCGTAGAGACTCCATGGATTTCTTCCAAAGTTGCCGGGGTCGGGAGTTCCCTTTGGATTCAGTACTGACAGCCACCTCCACTGTGTTAGGGTTGGACTCATTGAGAGTGAGAGGGTGCTGTCCTTGAAACACATAGTTACTGAGGTTATCCTTGTGCCTGTTGGCCACAAATGTTTGGAGTTCATTCATATTGTCCCCAAATATGCTGTCCTTCCCTTGAAAGGACCTATTGTCTGAGTATATCAAATTCCCCTTGTCTGAAACCATGTCCACAATAAGTGACCCTCTTTGAATGAAGTCAGTAGTTCTTTTGGGTGAGTCCATTCTTGATGAATTCACATTGGACATGTTGGAGATGTTTTTGGCTGACCGAAGAAGCTTTAGCATGTTGCTCTGTGACCCCGTCAGGTTGAAGTCTGGAGACTTCTTCTTTTCTTCAATGTGCACACCATGGATGCAACTGTAGATGCCCTGTGAAGGAGAAACACAAAACACACATCAACAGCAGAAACTGGTATGAAGTCACTTGCCTATCTGAGTTTTACCTGAAAGGTGAACCATTGGTCTCTTGAGGAAGTCTCCTCTCTCTCTCTCTCTCTCTCTCTCTCTCTCTCTCTCTCTCTCTCACACACACACACACACACGGGGGGGGGAATTCATTCTGAATCCTGATTATCTTACTTCAATAGGTAAGACAAGTTGTAATGCCCCATTGTGGTGTAACTACTTACTTAGCACTGAAATTAATTCAATTAAGATTCAGAAAATAAACATAACTCACAAATCTCAGAAAGCTCTTGAAACTTACATGATTCACAAGACTTTTTTTCTAGATAATACAAGCAGTGACCAGTGGTGGGGAGAGGAGACTCCATGACCGTCAGAGACGAGAGACTCTTTTGAACATCAGAGCTGCTTGTGTATCAGCAGGAGGCTCCAGTACTGAAAAGTCCATCACTTGTCACCCTGCCAGGTTGGGCTTTTGGCGATGCAGCTGCCACTGAGTCATCCACCCTCTTCTAAGCGACCTCTCACCCATACTCCTTGAGCAATACCAACAAATCCACTTGTTCACTAAAATCATTTAGTGATTTGAGTAAAATCATTTATTTGTCCCATTATCAGTGTGCCATCCTGGGGTAAATAGAATATTTGTTCACATTTTCTTAAGAAAAAGCCACACAACAATTAGTCCCTATATTACTGTTTTGGCCCAGGATAATCTGAAACCTTCGCAAAAAGTCACACGTGAGGCTTTAGAAGTAATATCAACTATACTTATATAACTATTAACACTCTGGTACCTTCACAGTGGCAGATAGGGATACTTTATTGACCTTCCCAGAACCCATATGCAGCTCAGATATTTATTGAAGGTTATATCACCTTTGAAGTTTAAATGTCAGAGAGTTAGATATTGACAAACCACCACAAAGGGACCACCATTGTTAATTATTTTCACAAATTACCAGAATGACCTCTACACTTATGCCAAAGCTATCAATCAAGGCATGTAACCTATACAAGATGCCAATCTGAAAATATTTCCTTCCTGGGTACATTGACTAGCCTAAAGGAAAGCACAGCCATGCAAATTCATGCAGGCCTGAAATCCTTGCACAAGAGAGGCTGAGTCAGCAAGATTATGAATTCAAAGCCATATTGGGCTACATAGTAAGAACATATCTAAAAGAGAAAGCAAAAAATTAAAAGAAATAAAATAAAAATTGAGGAGGCATTTGGTGCATGTAAGGGGAATCCACATTTTTACGGGGGAGCAGGGTCTTGGTTTTAATCAGGGATATCAGCCTAAGACTGAAGCCATTAGAGTGAGGTGAAAGACCTACGGAAAGGGGGAGTCATGGTCAAAGTTGCTGCAGCCATGTGCTTAGGGTTCTTACTTGTTAATTAGATGCGGCTAGAACTAGATTTTTACTTCTATTGACAGGGTGACACAGCAGCATAATCTTTAAATCTGCTCACTAGATAATGAGACCAGGGAATCCTGGGAAAGTGAGATATGACCACTGCTATTGCAAAGTCTCATCTTCTGTGTCTTTTTCCTTTCTTTAAAAAAAAAAATAGATCTTCTCTTTTACTCATAACTAGCTGCTCTCCTGTTGTCAGGGGAAGGAGTCTTTGTTCATGCTGCTGTAGTAAGTAGACCTTTAATAATCTTTGGATTTGTAAACTCCTGGCTTTCTCCTCCTCATATCCAGATTTTGGCAGCCATACCTAATCAAAACAATTGGATTAAGTCTGTAGAATTTGATCTACCTTCTAAGACTGCCAGGAAGCCATCCTGAGGATGTATTAATGAGGCAGACCTATTGCTGACTTTGGCATAAACCAGTAGAAAGTTTGTGTCATTGTGAGTCTGATCATGGTGACTACTGACACCCATGGCTTAACCCAAGAGGGATGCTCTCAGAACTGCAAAGTCTTAACTCATCTGTATGGCTGCAGTTTGCTGTCTGAAGACAGCCTCATAGCAATGCTACACACAAAGATGGCCATCTCAAGTTCAAGCATCCTTTGCTGGGACTGTATCAGTCTAAGCTTTGTAGTTAAGGTCTAGATCCTGGGATCTAGCACCCTTCTTCCTTCTTTTTATTTTCTTTCTTCCATCTCTGTCTTTCTATCCCTTCTTCTCCCTTTCCTCTCTTCCTTCCTCCTTTCTCCTTTCTTTACTTCCCCCATTCTATCAACTCTTTCCCCTTTCTCCCTTTCTTTCTCTTTATTTTCTTCTTTCTTTCATCTTTTTCCCTTCCTGCATGCTTTCTTTTCCATTCCTTCCTCTGCTTTTTTCTTTCCAGCCTTTCTTCTTTCTGTTCTTCCCCCTCTCCAGAGTTCTTCTTTTCCCATTTCCCCCTTTCTTCCACTCTTGGCATCTCTCTTTTGCTCCTTTATTTCTTCTCTTTCTCCATCCCTCACTCTCTCCCTTCCTTCTCTTCTTCCTTTTTTTTTCCCAGTTTATCTTCAGTCTCCTCTATGTAATGAGCAGTTAGTTGGCTGCTAATCTTGCCATAAACCACATTCCTTCCTTTGATCCAAGAGTGCTAGAACACGCAGACTCTGGACACACAATTAATCCATGTATTTCACAGACCCTGGCACATTAGCTTCCCCTCCATTAGTCATACAATGTAATCTTACATGGAATCTACTGGGAAAACTGCACCTATGAGTGAAAAATTGATGTTCCTTCTATGTCAGAGACAGCTACAGTCTTTATCTCCTCTCCTTATTGTATTATAAAAAAATATAGTTTTTTTTCTACATTTGCAACTTCATGCTAATAAGCTCCTCTCCTCACTCAGGAGAACCTAAGGACTTCTCTGCATCAGTCACTGTAGTGCAACTTGCGCCCCTACAACCTTGAACAGCTGGCTGTGTTTGGAGGAGACACACAGCATGATCAGAGCTGGACTGTGCTGCAGGAGATGGTAAGGATGATGGGGCTATGGCCTTTCCTTCCTGGCTCTCCTGGAACTGGTGTAGCACAGCTAAAGGAACTGATGTACCCATCGGGGGCTTCGAGTTTCTGCAACAGCTTTCTCTACCTGGGCTCTCAGGAGGGGAAATACATGTTTCAGAATAACAAGATGTGTCAGACACCACTGGATGTGGCCTTGGTTAAGTTATTGTCACTGTATGAACCTCAACTTTCCCAGCTGTAAAATGAAAATCCTCTTCTGGTGTGCATAAAGACAAGGTAAGCTACACATAGCAGGCATTCAGTACTTGTGGAGCAGACACACTGGGGCCTGCATTTGCTCCTTTCTCATTTCAAATCTGCTTTAACCTACAATGCCCACCTTGTCTAAGCCACAAAACAGTGCATGCTACTCATTGCTATAGAAAGTTTATTCCAGAAATTACATATGCCTTCTGGTTAGTAAGACTAGCCACCTATGGAGCCCAACTAACCCCTGGCTGAAGCTTCTTATGTTCCTGCTGGTTCTTCCTCCATTGCTCACAATCCCTTTCAAGGTTATGGAAATAAGGCATCTTCTTAGTATACCTGGTGGACTACACATCCTTCTGGTCAACCTGATTTGCTTGTTAAGTCATCTGACTTCTGAAAGCATTTTCACTGCTTGAGGGCACTACAGTCCTTCCTGTCCCATTCCTCCTGGGCTAGTCCTGATAGTGTCTGACTTCTGTTGCTCTTAATGGCCAGTTAGTGAAAAGCATCTTTCATTCCACCTTGGAACACAGTGGGAAGGCATCTACAGTCCCCATGCCCAGGCTTCTGTTTTTACTATGTCTCTTATTGCTCACACTTCAAGAGACAATCAAGGTGGCTTTTTTGACTGGGAATGACAAGCTTTTTTTTTTTTTTTTCCTTTTTTTATATAAGTGGTGTGTGTCAGGGGAGGAACACTTTCGATAGAAAACTAACATAGACTGAAATATGTATTTGTTAAAGTCATAAAAATATGACAAGGGACCTCCATTGTAGAAGCTTGGTTCCAGTGTGTAATAAATGTGTTCTTTGAGCTTGAGAGTGTGAGGGATGCATGCCTCTCAGGTTGGCATCCGTGTTGCATCTCCAGGAGCTTTACAGAGACACTGAGCCTGCAAGACAGGCTGCAGATGCTTACTTGTGGTGATTGCTTTCTGTCTAGGGGCTGCATGGTCAGTGTGCTGAAAGAACCACTGATGTAGAGATATATCTTCCGTGGAGCAGATACTGCCTTGGGAGTTTTCAGAGCATCACAGATCCTTAAAAAGAAGCTTAAACTCTGAACTTGACTAATGTATGTGACCCAACTGTGTATACAGATCATTTGTGTGTGTGTGTGTACATGCATGAGTGCATGTGTATGCGTGCGTATGTGTTCAAGTATATGCATGCCCATACAACTATGCACACACATGTGTGAAGGCAGAAGACAAACATAGGTTTTGCTCCTTAGGAGTTGTGATCTCAGCTCCTCTGCTGTATGTCATTTATGGCCTGATGGATAAAATGCGAGGAAACCTATTAATTCAGGTAAATATAAGATGAAAGTTTTTAAGGCCCATTTTAAGCCCCAGTTTCTTAATTGACAGAATGGGTGTGGTCAGATTATTCTACTCTTCAGAGGTTTCACAATGAATAGAGACAAGAAAGGGGAAGTATCTGGCTCTGACCATTATCCATAATAGCTATACCTTGCCATCACTGGCAATCCTCTGCTGTATGCTTTCAGCACTGGGAGCTGCACTTTCTGGGTTTCTCCCTAGTACAGAAAAGAGTCAGGGAAGCAATGGAGCCTTCTTATGCATTCTTTGTCAGGCTGCTCTGATTTAGAAGACAAATAAGATTGAAGGAGAATTGAGCCTCTGCTCCTCTGGACTCCTTGAAGCCTTCAGGATACAGCCTCAGTAATGACTTGGAGCCCCTACCCCTGTGCTTTGGAAGGTAGAAAAAGTTCAATTTTTTACCTACACAGCTTCTTCTGCACAAAACCAAACCTCTTCATTTCCACCTGTAAGATGCTTGGAAAGGGATGCAGGACTCAGTTCATTTTTTACAATGATGATCCTACCAAGTTGACTGTCTGCTCAAAAAGAAGCCAGATTTACAAGCAAATGCAACGGTGTGCATTTGCTCAACATAATCCCAAAACCGCTTGGATATGAAAAGCCTTTAGTAATTGGCTGGGAGAATTAGTTTAAAGTTGGCATAATTCCTAGCTATATGCATGCATGTTGTTATTTTTAAGCAATCTGTGTGTTTAGATGCCATCAAGCTAATTAGGAAATATATATTTGCATAGAACCCAAGCCGAGTGTAATTGAATGAAGAAAATAAATCCTCTTCACTGAGCTAGTGTGGACCTTCTGAATCTCTAAAGTTCTCAAAATCATTGAATGCTGAGGATACATAAATTCATTTTAAACTGATTATTTCATTTCCTCCAATAATGACTAGCACATAAAACTGAGTGGGGTTTTTTTTCTTACCACTAAAGTCAGAAGGTGAAAGAAACAAGTAGATGAGTTAAAGAAAACATAGATGATAGATGTGAGGAAGACAGCTACCTAGATGACAGACAATGGATAAATGACAGATAGACACATAATGATAGGCTTTAAATAGATTCATAGATTGGCAGATGATGACAGGTGGTAGATTGATATAGGATAGATGACACATACAGATACATATATATGATGATATATATGATGGGTACTTAATAGATGATAGATATATAAGTGATGTCAAATAGACTGATAAATGATGATCGATAGTTGATAGACTGATAGGTGGTAGATGATAGAGATGAATAGATATATAAATGATAGACAATAGATAGATAGATAGTTGATGGACTGATAAATGATAGATACATAGGCGATGATAGATTGATTATAGGCAAATGGATGACTGAGATAGACAGGAAGTACGTAGATGACTGGTAGATGATAAAATATGTCATCAATGTGCACATATGTGCCTGAGTCTCTGAACCGCCTGTGTTGTTCTGGACCTGCCTGCTGTACTAAAAAGGAGCTGCTTGGAGTACTGACCCTGCTGATGGAGAAGAGCAGCCCAGGCCGGTCAGAGCACACCCCGGTGAAGCAGAAGCGCAGCTTCCAGTAGAAGAGGTGCTCCCAGATGAAGGTGATGAGGCTGAGGGCCATGGCGGCAGCTAGCATGTAGAACACGCCCGCCATGTTATCGATGTCCAGCTGGCTGCTCATCACCTCGTTCTTCTCATTGTGACAGATGCCCGTCAGCCACAGTGTCTCCAGCTCCTCCATCTCACCTGCACAGAACACAGCACCCACAGGCATGAGGACCTGAGCACACGCCTCAGTGTAGATGCTCCTGACTTGGGAACAGGTACATGACTTACAATTGTGTGACTTTAAAGTAAGTTCTTGAGCTTGACTGGCCTTTGGCCACTCAGTTGATGAGGCTAATACCTTCCTGCTACCATTATAGACAGGACTGAATGGTATTCACCATACATATTAATAGTATGGTGAATTTGGCAATTCCTGGGTTGGTTTTGATTATGGTTGCATTCTCCCCGTATTATTTCCCTGTCTTCTACACACCCTAACACCCTATCCCCCAAAGCTCATTCAGGACAGGCATACTGCTGTAGAAAACCTCAACCTCCAACCCTCTCACTTGCTAGCTGTGTGACATTGAAGTCACAGCCCACCTGCCAGTGTCCAGCAAGAGTGCATACTCCAGGGAGCTGTGTTGAGGGCCAGCTGAGTATGGTTCACATTAAGTCTCATTAAAAAATAGGTTGTGCTACAAGTGATGATCATGAGGAGAATGCTCAGAACAGTGCCTGGAAGATGGTGGACCTCAGACACATTAACATTCTCATGTTTAAAACACACCAAACCATTCCAAAACTTCATGCACAAGAAACGGGCTTAAGATGCTCAACATTTTTGGAGAAAAATGTGTTGGCTCTAAATGGCCCCTTGCAAAGTGAACATCTTCCTCACTTCAAAAGGCCATTAAAGAAACAGGTGCGCTTTTCAATGGAGACAAAAAGGAGGAATGCCTAACATAATTTCTTCTGTGTGTTTTGTCCAATCCCCATTCAGGATAAAATTCCATGATCTCAATGTCTAGTAATTACACCAAGTGAGACCTACAGTTCACTAAGCACTGGCATTTACTCAGTGAATCAGTCTTTAGAATTCTATCTCAAAGACATCGATCATCAAAGAAGACGTATATGCAAATCATGACTGCATTGTGTCAGTAAATGTCTGATCTCCGAGCTGAGGAGGCAGCATCTGAAGGAAGAACAGTTTTAAATGTTTTTGCTGACTCTCCTTTGAGGAAGGTGGTAGTTATCATCATGGATTTCAAGTGGGTCTTGTCTTTAAGTTTCGTGGGATTGGTGTGTTATCATCTTTGCTTTATTCTCATTTTTTGATGCAAGAAGGTGGTGGTCTTTCCTAAGCCCTTTGATGAAGTTCAGTTTTCCTCAAATTTGCATTGCTGTTGTGAGATCAGCGGTATGCTCACTGCCTGTGCTTATTTCACGGTCTGTATTTTCTCTCAAATTGCTTCTGAAAATTTCATTTGGCTTTGGTGAACAATCTACATGTGGGTGTGCTTTATTTATTTAAATTTTGGTCTCCATGTGATTATTCTATCTGATGGCACTCAGCTTTAATACCGGAAAACAGATAGATGGCTCAGCAGAGAAGAGCACTGGCTGCCAAGTCTGACAACCTAACTTTGATCCCTAGGCTCCACATGATGCAAAGAGAGGACAAGCTCCTGAGAGTTGTCCTCTGACATCTGCATGTATGTGTTGACACATCTCACTTCACATGTATACATACATAGTTAAATATCAAAATTAAATATCATCTATTATTGCTTTAAATATTAACTCCCCCATCTTACCATTTTTTTAAAACCATTTATTCTCTGTAACTTTTTCCAAACTTTGTCAACTGATCTACAGTACTGTCTTGTCCACAGTGTTATGTAGTTGGAAATATACAATGTGTGAACTCTTCAGACTGGTTTTTTTTCACTGCATAATGTGTTTGCAGTACTTCTGAGTTTTTTCTGAATCAATAGCTCATTTCTTTGCCTTACTGAGTTTCACAGTCTGGATACAGTTTGTTTATCTGTATACCTATTGATATTGATGTTGGTCATTTCCAAATTCACAGCATTGCAAATAAAGCCATTATAAACATTGATTAGGGAAGTTTTTATGTGGAAGTTTTTAACTCATTTAGTCAAAATATCTGGAGGCCTTTTGCTGAATTCTCTGAATTATATGGTAAAACATGTCAAGCTTTCTAGGAAACTGCCTAAAATGTATTTCAAATTGATAGCACTGTTTCGCATTCCACATCCTCACAAGGGTTGATCAGTGTTGTCAGTATTTGTGCAAGACTTTTTCCCTTTTCATAGGCGATAGTACCTGATTGCTGTAATTAACAATTCTCTAATGATCTACAATAACTCATTTTGTCTTGAAAATTTTAACAAAGAGTGTTAACAGTCTACCCTTCAGGTTATTAACCTTGATTTCATATTTATTTATCTCGGTGGGTTGGAGTTGGTTAATTCACAGAAAGATTCATTCTCTATTTCATTTGTTCTTTAACTAGTAATATTTCATTTTAACCTATTTTTTTACATGAGATATTTGTTTCTTTTCCAGCTTCACTAATTATTTTCATGGTGATTTTCAATCCTGTTCTAGATTGGTAATTTCAAATCTATATTCAAGGGGAATAATTTTTTGTGGTTTTTTGTTTGTTTGTTTGTTTGTTGTTTTGAGATAGGGTTTCTCTTTATAGCTCTGGCTGTCCTGGAACTCACTCTGTAGACCAGGCTGGCCTTGAATTCGGAGACCAGGCTGTCTCTGCCTCCTGAGTGCTGGGACTGAAGGTGTGCACCACCACTGCCCAGGTAAGGAGTATAATTCTTAGACTGTACATTTTTCTTTGTTCCATGTTCTCTCTCACAATGATTGATATCCTGGTAACAGTTGTAATATTTTACATTTTTTATTTATTATTTATTATTATTTTACATTTTTAATAATTATTTATTTTTATTTTATTTATTATTTTTATTTATTATTTTATTTTACATATTTTATTTATTTATTTATTTTTTATTATTTGGTAATTTGATGTGCATATAATGTACTTAGATCATATCTACCTCTATTTATTCCATTCAGCTTCTCCTGAGTCTTGTTACAATCACATCAAAGACTCATATTTTTTATTTTATTTTTAATAATACACCGAGTGCAGTAAGTGCTGCCAATTTGTGCATGGATGTGGGGCATCATTTACTGAAGCATGCTGGCAACCTACCATGGGCCACACTGCTGAAAGAAAAAAGCAGATTCTTCCTTTCCCTTTGTCCATCACCTGCCTGTAGCTCCTCAGTGAGGGCCAGGGCTTCATGAGCCCCTTCCCTGTCCATGTTGGAATGGTGACAAGCTGGGTCTTGTTCCAGCAACCATAGCTGTTGTGAGTTCGTTAGTGTTATGGCCCTGTCATGTCCAGAAGACAGCATTTCATAGCAATCTCCCATGACCTCTGGCTTTTACCATCCATATGCTGCTGCTCCCATCATGCTCCGTGAGCCTTGAGGATGCAGTGTAGTACAGATGCCCCACTTGTGGTTGAGCATGGCCCTATCACTTTTAACAATTTCAGGTCTCAGTATGAACCACGGCCTATCTCATAATTCTCTAGCTTTTGATCCTGAGTTAATCCTCTACAGAGTTATTCTCCCTTTAAACACCATATGCTCCCCAAGATCACAGGGTTGCAGAAATGTCCCTAGAGATGGTTTAGAGCTGGCTTCTGCCAGCTCTGGCTTCAGTTCTTAGTACACTCATTTTTGTGTGAAAAAGACTGAATCTTATGATTGCAGCATTTAAACGATGTACGTTTGGTCTCTCCAAACCATCTGAGTTAGGTTTCTCACTCAGCTTCGAGCAGAGGGAACATTTTCTTTTCTTTGATGGACATAGATTCTCTCAGTTTCCTTTTCATAGACAAAATGACTCATTGAAGGTCTCAGAATTGTACATGAGAAGGGGAGCATGCATATTTATGAGCAGAAAAATATTAAGAACTCTATCTCCCAGCAAGTTTGTCACCCAAGATGGCAGTTCTGGTGAATCGGCATTGCAGACAGAGGGGCAGAAAGTTGTATCTTTCTGCCTTAACTTCCTCCATACTCTAGCACTGAGCATAGCCACGAATGTCTGAGGACTAACATTATCTCCTGTCCATGCAGCACCACTGATTCAGTCAAAGGCCTCTGCCCACCACAAACCTCGACGCTTATATAATTGTCTCCTCTTTCTAAAGCCACCAAATCACTCCCTACAATACAACCTGTTGTTGAGTTTCCCTTCCCTTGAGTTTGTAAGGACTCACATATAAAAATGGGTCTTTCTCCCCAGGATTCATCTAATTCCCAAAATAGCTTCTCTTTAGTGTTATCTCAGAAAGAGCTGGGTTTGTAAGCCCATGACAGTGGCAGTCTGGCTAAAAGAAACATTGTCTGGATTCTTTTCAAGATGCAAATACAAAGAATTTTTTTTGTTTTTGTCCTCTGCCTGAGTACACAACACCTCTCTTTAGAATTGCCAGCTTGGTAATCCCAACCACGATTCCACAAGGAGAGTGAAGTGACATTTCTCAGTACCACCTCCATCCTGTTGGAACCGTTTTCCAGTTAGATAGTCCCTGCCTGGTGGCCCTCATCCTAGCGTAGTGAACTGAGGTTTAAATACTTTCCTATTCTGTTTTTAATTCACCAGAGTATATTATAATCTCCTCGAGGGAGATCGGTATCATGTTTTATGATTTTGCTATTTCTCGTGGCCTATAGCACATACTAAGCATCAGATCCATTTTGTGGTTTCCATTTTTTTCTTTGTATCCACAAGCTTAAATTGGGTAGGACTACAACAAATACACAGAACTTTTTGCTACTTTCCTGACTTTCAGGTAGAGGGAAGTCAGAACACACGGGGAGTGCTGCAGTGAACTGGAGAGTGAGCCCTGGCAATGAGGATGTCCTGAGTTGTGTGGGACATCAAATATTGAATATCGTTTTCAGAAGGAGGAGCACGGCATCACACAGCCCCCTCTTACAAGGAGATCACAGGTTGTCAGTTTTATCTTAGGAACTAGTGCTGGCAAATATGATTGCTAGATTTGTTTCCTGGAGGAAGCTCATTCTGGATGGGAGGATGCAGGCTGAACTCTCCCAGAAGCAGGTGGGAGC